TGTGCTTCAGTTCAACTTTCTGCTTTCAGGTTGGAGCTAATTTATTACTGACCCTTTTTCAGAGAAGGTAAATCACACAGGAGTTATCCCATCTTTCTCCTACAGAGCAGCTGGTGAATTTGAACTGCCTGCTTTAGGTTAATAGCACCACTATGCCACCAGAGATCCATATACGTGTATAAATTGCCTATGTTCCATCACAGACAATCAGAATTTGGATTGGGAGTTGGTAAAATGAGTATTTTTTTGTTGTTTAAAGTATCCTAGATGAATATAATGCATAAGCAGAGTTAAGTAACACTAATAATCTTCTGCCCTTGAGCTTTATATATATTTTATTGGAGATAAAAAGATTATACAGATTAATAAAAGGAAAAATTGTTACATCCATAATGAAAATAATTATAAATTTGCAAAGAATCACTGCATAGGGGAAGCTATACTTTATTTTAGAAGTTTTTAAGACATATTGTGGGTTAAGGGCTTGGTTGTTAAGTAAAAGCTTAGTGGTTCGTAAATATAAAAGACATCATGCCAAGAAAGGTGGAAGGTCAATGAAAGAGATTAAGTAAAATTAATTGGCATATGGGCTGCAACAATGATCTCAAGTTTGTCAGATATGATGAGGATTGTGCGGGATATAGTACAGGGTTGAGATCTGTTGTTGACAAGGGTTGATGAGTCATACTCAACTCGGTGGCACTTAATGATAAACAACAAGAGCTCTGTGGGAGAAAAGACTTGGCAGTCTGCTCCCATAAGGATTACAGCTCGAGGAAGATTATAGAGTACTAGTTAGATTCAGCAGCAGGAAATTGAAACGAAATCTTGAAGAGCTATGCAATCCTGTGGTTTTGCCTGTACCCATCCTCAACCCTACCTCCACCCCCTGCTTGAGTTCCCATACATGTTTTGCTAATTATCCTTCTGTTTTTAAAATAATGGTCTTATGCAGTATTTGTCTTTGTGAGATTGCTTAGTTCACTCAGCATAATGCTCTCCAGCCTCTTCCAAGTTACATAGTATTTTCTTAAATTGTTGCTCATGAGTTTGGTGGAGGGAGGATGGGAGGAAATTGTAAGGATCTGGGTGAAAAGCCAGGGTAATGATGAGCAAGGTCCAATGGTGATACATTTTATAAAGCATAATACATGAGAATGAGTGTATGAAACACACAAGGTGAATGAAGAATAGTTTGAAACACAATGCATATAAACTTTGCAATCAAATTAATTAAAAAACTTTAAAAAACCCAAAAAAAAAAAAAAAAAGAAAAAAATATTGAAGAATGCATCTTTTCTTTTGTAACATCCATTACAGGTAGCAATGAGAGAAAAAAAATTATGAGTATAAAGAACAGCATATGTAAAGGTATGTAGACATGTCTAAGGCCTATTCAAGAATGACTGGAAACATAATAATGTAGCCATAATACCAGCAAGGAAGATGAGAGTGAAAGAAAAGTATATAAAGTATAAATAAAAGTAAAAAACCTGTTGCTACTGAGTTTATTCCAGTTCATAACAATCCTATAAACAGAATATAACATCCATGGAATCAGATTGTCATATCTACTGTAGAAAGATTTGTGGAGTTGAACTGACTTTTTTTTATGATCACCCAAGTGCTTAATCACTGCACTACCCAGGTTCCTTATAGATTATAAAGTTAGAAACACCCTGTAGGAACATCCTTCACAGCTAAATTAAGAAGTTTGGAATTCACTATGTTGATTCTAGGGATGAATGGAACTTAGGCCTTGGGTTGTCTATCTTTAAAATGAGCAGATGTTTTCCAACTGTGTTGTAAATTGTTTCCTGGATTATGTTTGTTTTTCATCAGAGCTGAAAACACAGCTGGGTTTATATAACATGACACCTCTGGTAGTCACTCTTACAGCTGTTCCATTTCTCTTAATGGTACAACTGATGTCAATGTTACTTTGTGGAGTCATCATAGGTATTTGAGAAAGCAAATGTATAGAAAAATATTGGTCAATGTACCACGGCCTTTAATAACCAGTGTTATATAATGAAAGCATTCACTCCTTGTTGCCTTGGAAACATCTCTTAACCAAACCTCTATTGAGTTTCTGAGGCTGCAAATCACATGGGAGGACATTGCTTATTTCTCTGCTATAGAGCAACTGGTGCATTTGAACCATCAGAGAGGTGTAGATTTAGAGCTTGCAAGGCAACTCTCTATGGACTATGTCACACTTGAAATACTTCATGTTAGATGCATAGAGGTGTGCTATAAAAATGGAAACACTTTTACTAAAATTCTTTCATGCCCAAACATTGGTATGTGAATTACTAAGACAGACCTTCAATGTAATGTCTTATTTTAGTATTTTAAAATTTCTCCTCTAGACAAGATTTTGCATTTCTGTTCATATATTCACTGGACTTGCTTTATCTTTATTTGTATGCCTAATAAGCTACACATTATTAGATTTATATCCTTAAGTGAAGTTTCTCAATTTCTGGTGTTTATTGAATACATAATTTATCTCACAGCTTCTCCTCAAGTGTATACAACGGCTGATGAATCAAAATACAATGTATGGTCGGCTCAGTGATTGAACTTCTAAGATGCTAAAGGCAGTCTAATCTGTACATTTTGATTCATTTTATAATAGATAGGTAGTTGAATGCCTTGAGCATTTCAAAAGGTATTTTGAAAGATTTAAGTTGAAATAGAACTCTTTGGAACTCCAGCAGGAACTGTTAGAAAGAAAGCTCATGTGGTTTCTGTCATTTGAACATCAAACAGTCCTGTTAGAGGAAATGTTTTGAAAGCATTTTAAAAAATGATAGTTACTACTTGTAACTGTTTATCTCTCCACCAAAAAAAATGATAGAAAAACACTAGGATATTGGTCAGTTTTGACCTGTTGACCCTAATTTATCTTCCCAGACATTGACGAATGTGCTGAAGGGCGCCATTACTGCCGTGAGAATACAATGTGTGTCAATACTGCTGGTTCATTCATGTGCATCTGCAAAACTGGATACATCAGAATTGATGATTATTCATGTACTGGTAAGTGGAAGTCCTGTATGGATAAAATCTTTCGGGGCCTTTTGTATACAGTCTGTAGTATCTTTCTTATAACTATGTTAATTTAATCAATATTCTAAAAATAGTTCCTTTTAACAAAATTGGTCTTAAGCAAAACATTTCTTCCTGGAATGGCAGTTAACACTTAATCCTTGCTAAGGAAGTAAATACTTATTTTGGACAAATTTTATATTTCCTTAAGGAACATTAAGGAAAATTTAGGTTAATATTTTATAATACTCTAAAAATATTTCTATTCAAAACTTGTGTTGCTTTGTCAAATCTGTGAAACAACCCCTAAACTGCTCTTCCTTTACATTATAGAGTAGATTATTTTAATAGATGAAGACTGGCAATACTCATGTGAAGAAGTTCATCCTCACCCCAGAAATAGGTTCTTGGGGTGCGAGAAAATGAGAATATTAAAGAGGATTAAAATGATTCACACTTCTGAAAGTATATTAGGTGCCTACACAACAGACATCTCTTTGTGGTTGCTTTATGAGTCCTATGGTTCCTTTCATTATCCTCCAAAATCTTCTTCCTGAAAGTCTTAAAGATTATTGGGAAAGCTTATTCTTTTCATACTCTGGGTTTCTACCTGTAAATACAAAGGAAAATAATGCTTATTAAGTAGCTTGAAGACTATGGGCGTTAGCAAAATGTCAGTGTGATATAGCAATTTCCTTGAAGTTTTTTAAAAAGGAGTAACTTTAAAACCAATATTTTAGAAAAGCCTACAAAATTGTAGAATTTAAGAATACCTAAAACATGTTGTTCTTATTAATTTTATATTAACTTCATCTATATGATCTTTATCAGAGGGATAAATAAATGATATTTAAATTTTTCTGGGCAAGACTTTCAATAACATCCCCAATGAAAATATGAGTCTATAATAAAGGTGTTATTCTTACTTTTATTCATTGAAACTGTATTTTATTTATTCTTTTTTAAAAAAAAGGTTGCCCAAAAGAATGTGGAAATTATTAAACAATATTATTAATATCACATGCAAGTAAAATCTTGCTGAAAGTCACTTAAAAATGCCTAGAATAATACAAGAACAGAAAACTATTAGACATTAAAACTTTGAGAGATTAAAAAAAGGGCAATGACACAAGGGATTTCTAATGTTAGATGGCTCTTGGGTAAAGGCAGAGAATACCAGAAAAATAGCGGTGTATCACTGACTACCGTTTGGAAGCTCATGTGTGAAGTGTTTGGATTCTGAAAGGTGAGTTCTCTTGTTTTTAAGAAGGTTGGGTGTGGACTGTTTGGTTGTTTTTTTTTTTATTTTTCCTCTTCATTCACAATCATGCATGAGCTGATTGGATTTTTTGTGTTTAGCTAACAATGAACTGTGGGCTGGAAGACTCCTGTTTAAAGTTAACCAGGACCTGGTAGAGAGGCCTTGCGTTTAAAAGGCGATTGGGCTGAGGGCTACCAGCCCTGGTGTTAATTTTATTTGGGATGAACATTCTTCTAAGTGGCACAGCACTGGTCTGTCAATTTTCTATATTGAGGTAACTTGGGGTTGCTGTGATGCTGAATGCTATGTCACTGCTGTGTCAAATGCCATAATAGTTACACATCATGGACAGTGTTTGGTGGAGCTCCCAGATTGCGACAGGCAGGAATGGCATCCAATACCTAAACAACATGCCTCTGAAAGCTATAGGAACGGAGAGAAATGAAGACAGTTACAGAACAGGGTTCAGATTGTTTGTTCATAGGGTTGCTATGAGTTGTGCTTGACTCGTAGCAACTTAACACAACAACAAACTGTATTCTAATTGATATTGTATATATCAATGGAACAGGAAGGACTTGCCATTTAATTTTTACATAGAATTTTTATATAAAATATTGATCAAAATAAAACATAAATGGCAATGTCCACAATCTATATGTCATAACCAAAGATAACATGATGTTAGAAAATCTGTTTAATATACAAATGCCAATGAATTTACAAGATCCTGCTTTTCATTAGTTAACTCTAAATATTTTCACATTATGAGAATAATTCATTATTTCCTTAGACAAAATCTAATCACATTTAATGGCAGTGTACTTTGAAAGAAGACTTTTTTTTTTCTTTTTCCTGCTGGGAATTGTTTTCAACATAATGAGAAGAGTATTTAAAAAAAAGGAATCTTGATAAATAAAAGCAAAATGGAAATATACAGCATACTATATATTAGTAGTATTTGTAAATTTGAGTTCAAATAATGACAGTAACATTGTTATATAACAAAGCTGTTGCATCTCAGAAATTCATGATGTGCTCTTTGAAAATAAGAGTGCTGGCAATTTTCATGTAGTTGGCTAATTCTTTGGGATTCAAGACTTGTATTAGAGCCATGCGTAGTTTTATACTTTCTACTGGCATTTTCCTATTTCTTGTATCATTAAAAAGAGTAAAGATTTGTTGTAAGAGTGTATGGTACATAGTTTGGTTGAGTGTTGAATGAGAATCGTTTCTTCTGGCCAGGATATTTTTAAGAGATTAATTTCCATTCTGTGTCTGACTGTTGGGTGTAAAGTCTCAGGATGGCTCAGGCTCCATCATTAGAGAGTATCTTCTGCTTTGGCTTTGGATCTCTGAGTGCATTTTCATTCCAAATAAAAGACCACAAATTTTTGTTTTTGACTACCTAAGGATAATGTTCCCCTAGGATTCCAAAGTATCTAATGATATAAATGAAGTATTCATTGGTGAGAATGACAAAGAAGGCAATAGGATTTTTTAAGCTATTCAGGCCATACTTTTTTGCTTATGGAAGGAGCCAAGAATTCTAAGACCTGGCAGCTTATTAAATGTTTACTTAATGAGGAACCAGTCTTTCCAAATAGCACTACCTACTTCTGTGCCTACAATTGAAGGAGACTCTTTTTGCCCTTGAATTTCCTGTCTACTAAGACTAGCTCTATAAATATGAGGTTTAAGTCAGTACACAAAAATTGGAATTTCCTTTTGGGAAAGAAAAAAATGTTGAGAATATGGGTCCAAACCAGATTCAAGAGACTTCCTGCCAAAAGCTGTCATTGAATAGACCACATAGGGCAAGGACATATTGAGAATTTCTTTACTAAAATGCCATGAATATTTAATTTGTTACTTCTGTAAAGCTCTACAGGAGTAGAGCTAGCTTTTTACAGTTTGGTAACAATCTTTGTACAGAAGATCTGCTATGTCAGAAACCTTAAAAAATGACTCTTGTGGGGTTTGCCTTGTGACTGTAGGGATCTAGTCTGTAAAATCTCGAGGACATGTTCAGGATCAGATCAGGACACTATATCCTTGGTACAGAGTAAAATACATTTTCTCTCTAATAACCAGCATTCACACACTTGCTGAATGATTTCCAGAATAATTATCTGGGCACTGCTGACTAGCCTTGCCCTGATGTTTGCATTCAAATTTTTAAATGTTAGCCTTAAGTTTATTTCTATACTTCTGTCCTTTTCTTGTTGAAAATCTTTTCTAAATAAGGCTGTATTATAATACCAAAGGCACGCAGTTCAAATCCACCAGCTTCTCCGCCCACAGGAGGATCAGCTGTGGGTCATTTTCTACTCAGTGGTACACAGCAACAACCACCTAAAACTCATGATAATTGACCATACAATAAAAGATAACAAAAAAAAAAGTACAAATGGGCACTTGCCACACTGTACACAGCAGACTCTCCAAATTGCTTACCCAGTCTGAAATTTAATCATGGGCATTCTAATTTAAAGAATTCGAGAGCAATACATTGTACTTTATACTCCATAGCTTTGATCAATAAAAGCAGCTTTTTTTTTCTTTTATAACCCTGTAGCTCTGGCATAGAAATTTTGTATGCTGCCAAGTAATTACCTTCTGTAGATGTAGAACTGCAAATTTTCTTTCAGATGGTGATGATTTGAGGTATGCTTTCCCTATGATCGTAAAATTGTAGATGTGGAAGAATTCTTTAAGTCTAGGCTCATCTCCTCATTTTCACACATGAGGAAACTGAGGCTCAAGGACATTAGCAGCGTTAACCAAGGTCGCATAGTGAGAGGAAAAATGGGTGTCATAAAACAAGCCTCCTTATTCCTGGTTCTTATGCTGTTCACCATCTGTCTAATTTGCAACTGTATAAAAATAAGTAAAGCGCAAAGATTCATATTTCAAGTAGAAATACATTATTCAGTTTATAATGTTCAGTAATTAAACTGACTTTCATATAGATTATTCCAGTTCATTAGCTTCAACTCCAAGAGGAGTTTCCCCCCTGCAGACCTTATAATAATCTTAAATCAGAAGTCAGTAGAAGAACTATAACTCACTGTTATCTGGCCTCTTATTCTGTTAGGCAGTTGCACTAATGACTCAGTTGTACCATTTACACAGATGATGCGGCAGTTTATACCCTTCTAAGGTCATTAAAATAATTTTCTTTCTAGTGAGGGTGTTCTTTTCCTCCCAATTAATGTTTTTTTTTCTCCTCTTCATATCCTTTTCTGTACTTAGAGGAAAGTCTGAGTGTATACATGGAGAAAGGTGCGGCGGGGGGAAGGAAAGAGAAAATGTAGAGGAAAAATAATGATGGGCTCATATAAGGCATGCTATTGAAAAGTCTTTCATTATATCTTTTATGGAAAAAGTAACTCAATTTTAAATTCATGGAAAAAAAATTGTAGTTTATAGTCTCCTTGTGAAAATTGTTTTCACTGTTACTGGGCATTCCCTCATGGAGCTGGTCTTGTGTGGTGAACAAGGCTTAAAACATTTCTGGAAACAAAGTTGGAACCAAGAATGTTGAACTTTTGTGTGACCAATTAAGGTCTGAGTGAAGAAGCACTTAGAAACTTAAGCTGTTACGGTTCTTTATGTTGGTGAGTTTCTTTACCTTCTGACTCCTGTATGGCCTTTTGAGTGGGGACTGGAGAATGGGAAGAGTGAATAGACAGAAGAGTAGATGATGGCTTTAACTCAGTACGGATCT